TATATATGCTAATTTTGTTCATGTAGAATGTGTATTATTCATTGAAAATTCACGTTTACCGGCACCTTACCCTATAAAATTAATATGATGACGCCCTCTACCGATACAAATTTCTCATAAGTCAATTTTTTAGTGATAACTGGGCCTACATATTGTGTTGAGTAAAATTTCGATAATGTGCAATAATTGAAAATATTGATTAGTACCAAATTCCTGTACTAAGAAAGTTTAGAATTTTGGTTTATTTATATACAAATCTGCGAGCTTAGACTTAAATTACAAAAAAAATGTTAATACCATGTTTAAAGAGGATGACCCTTCCAGTGTGGCCTAGTAAATTAATGATAAGATGCTATATAATAAACAAAGTTTACTAAGTTAGGGACTGGAGATGTATGAGTTGTAATAAAAAAGGATTTGAACCCAGAACCCCTGAATTAGATGGCAAGTATCCCAAGTATATTTGTACCGTCGAATTGTTAAAAGATACGTTCAAGACGCATCAAACTTACACAGTACCGTAAAACCGGGCACATACTGAGTCATGCGACGGTCGGCCGGCGAATCCATCTTCGCTGTGAGCGCTTGACGACGCAACGCTGTCTACTGATTGTCAATATAGCAGTCTCCATGGAGCCTGTTTTTCACTAGGCGAATTTATTCGTGCGAATCGAAGGCGTCGGTTCGGTTCCTACGCCCATTTCTTCTTTGAATTTTCATGTGGGTAGTGAAACTACTGATGTGGTAAAAAGCATCCGTTATTTAGGACTTCAAATTGATGAAAATCTTATCTGGAATCACCATATTCGACAGTTAGGCCTAAATAAAAATATTTGGTACAAAATTATTATCCTAAATTAATTTGAAGAAAATGAATCTCTTTTAAATATTCTTTATGAAAGACTAGTAAAAACCAACCCTGCATGGACTATACAATCTCAGTTTGGGGAAGTACATCAAACAAAAATAATAATTAACAAAAATCGTTAAGGCTACGAAAACGTGCTACTAGAATTGTTAAATATATTTTGATTTATATATTTTCGTGGAATCGATCATGTTAAACAAAATAATTGGAAACTTCTTGATGAACGTAGAGATTATACGGCCTAGCATGTTTAATGCATAAATATATTCAGTAATGGTATTACCTTCCTGATTATGTAATGATACTGAAATGGTTGTTGACCGACATAGATATTCTACGAGATAAGCTCACTAACTTTACGTTATCCCCCACCCCCAATTTCAAACTGAATGAATGGCTCTTCAAAAATCGCTGGAGCGAAACTTTGGAACAAAATCCCAAATGGAATGTCAGTCTCTTGATTTATTTAAAACTAATTTTAAGAAACACTTTCTATGAATATCACTTTAACATCCCTAAAATAGTTATTATCATTTTATATTTTTCTGGTCTATATTTTGATTGTTAAATGCAGTCATTCAACCAACTTTATATATGCCTAATACGTGCACCTTTACCGCTCGGGGTTGTATAGTTAGACAACCCTATAAATTGCAACAACAACCAGAGGTTCGAGCGAATCGACTATATGAGATAATGCGCAACAGGGCGAGGATTTGTAATCTAAAATTATTTTGTTATTACTATTAATATCATCATTATCATTGATCAATTTAATAATAGGGAGGTTTCACACGCGAACGCGTACGGTTAGTGTGACGGAACGTCATCATTTTGATGTTATATACCGGTACCGGCTGCTATCCACTAAACGTGTGGACGGCACGCATTAGCTCACTACACGTAAGTGAAATACGCGTAGGGATATTTTGGATTTCTAGTAGGATCCTCGTTTATATTTTTTACATTTTGCGTAATTGTAAAAAATAAATGTATCTTTGAATACGTACGTTCCATTTTTTTGACATTTGAAGACAGCAAATTACGATAGGATAGGATGCGTCTCATTTTGGGGTATAAAAACGTCGGTGCTCTGACCTTAGTGGTGTCTGCATTTTGTGTAGGCCGAGGCCTATTTGTAGCCATGGGCACTTTTGTGTCATAAACAATAGGGCCTATCACAAAATAACCAACAATTCTGAACAACAAAGGAAATATTTTTCGGCTACTATTTTCAATTTTAATTTCCAAAACAGAATTCATCAGATGTACAGATCTTATCTATGACGGTGGGTTGGTCACGTACTTTTACTCAAATAGAATCTCAAATTTAGATTAATAGTTAATTTAATGAATTACTATATTAGGTTAATGTGATTTATTTTTTGAATGCAGGCTTTATGTATTTATTTTGGTATACACATCCTCAAGCTATAATAGATAATATTTTAGAGTGTTCATGCACTTTTACACGAATATAGGTTAGTAGTCAATTTAATAAATTAGTATATTCAATAGGCCTACGTGGTTTATTTCTGAATACAGGTTTTATGTAATTATTTTGGTATACACATCTTCAATCTATCATTGTTATGTAGACTACATAAACATTATACAGAATTTAAATGAACGACGTCAATAAATATTTATAAAAATATTATATCATAATGTTATGAATATTTTGAATATGAAAAATGAATATTATTCATAATAAACTTTAGAACAGTTTACGGCTTATACAAAACTGCGTACGGTAATGATGAAAATTCAGATATTTAAAGTGTTAGAAACATTTATTGCAACGAATTCTGAATACTCCTTAATAATAATATTAATAATAATAATAATAATAATAATAATAATAATAATAATAATGATAATAATAATAATAATAAATCGAAAAAAATTTTTTTAATTAGTCCAATCATTATAATTATTATAGTACGGTAGTTAAAGAGGCCTAAGTTGTCCTGGGTATGACATTAGACTCCATCCATTCAGCACCTCACTCAGAGTATGTGACTGCTGAGGGGAGGGTGAATTAATTTGTTTTCATTATGTGATCTCCATTTTGATGCAAAATCTTCGTGGTTATGACTATTTTAAATAAATAATGCTTTGTGCAGTGGCGGATCCAAGGGGACACATCCAGCCTACCCCCACCCTAATTTTTCAAATTAAAAAAAAAATGAAGAACAAAATTATATTCGTATTTTAAGTCTGAGAGGGTGCTATAATCATACATTTTTTAACCTCAGCCCCAGCCATGGTGGGGTTGAGGTGGGTCGACCCTGTATCTATGGAAGTTACTCCATTATACTAACCTCTATTTCGATTTCCTTGATCCGCCACTGCTGAGTTTTTATTATAATTATTAGTACGCCTACTAATATTATTTATGATGCATTTATTAGAATTGTCACTTTATCTATATTCCACAATCCCTCGCAACAGTCTTAAAAACCTTCAGGATTCGCAACCTACCAGGAGCACTTGACGGCCTCCAGCCGTTGGGAGGAGGCACCCCCTAAACCCGCCTCCGCTTTACTCGTACCTCGGAAGACGGCTCCCCTTCACCCTTTCGAAATCCTGGCTAACGTCCTGTGCCCAGCCGGCCCGAGCCCCATACATTTAAAAAACAAAGAACAAAACAAAAAACAAAAAAACAAAAACAAAAAAAAACAACAAACTTTGAGATAAAAGGAACTGAAGTCTGAGAGTCCCATTACTGGCCATCTAAAGAGGCCATAGCCTGGTTCTCACGAGAGCCCAGTATCCGGATCGGGAGCTAACCGTTAGCGCTTACCGTTAGCACCTGTGTGAGAACGCCCGATCGGTTAGCGCTAACCGTTAGCGGTATCCGGATACGCTAACGATTAGCAAGCGCTATCGGTTAGCAAGTTGAGGGCGTTTCTATCATCAACCAATCACACGTAGGCTATGTTCTCACACGGCCGCTAACGGTTAGCAGGATCCGGATCCTGCTAACCGTTAGCTGCCGTGCGTCCATACGAGAAAATCCCGATCCGGATACCAAAAATATGATGATCGAATCACTGGCCAATAAGAAACTGGAAATTGTAA